GCTCGACAGCGAGTAGTTAAACGTATTCCCGGGACGATGATACAGTTTGTCGTGCGATCGACGCAGTGGCCTTGACCGCGGGTTATCGAGCTTTTCGTGGCCGCTTCCTTGCCTTCCTGGATCGAAATCGTTCCAGTCGGACGTCGTGCATCGTCGCGTTACATCGCCAATAACGGGGCACAAAACGAGGGACACAGAAGTCCTTGCGCAAGTATGATTAACTCTGTCACGGGATATACCAGTTCACGGTCACGGCGGGAATCGGGTTGGTTTTCCACCGAACTTCGGTAATTGTTGCGCTCCGTGGGAGGGAAATCGGCTTACCGCGAATCCGTCACGATCAACGAGATCAAAGGCTGGGATCAGGGAACAGAGTTGTGTGCTCCTGACTCCTTGAGAAATCGATAGGATTTACACGAGGAGCGTCTCGATTTTCGCGAATATTTCCCACGACAGGGAGAAACGTTCAGCTTTTGACTTTGCGTGAATGAAAAAAAATTTGACAGTTCGATTAAACAGTGAAGTCGCTGACGAGACTGAGGTAGAAAAATCTCCATCGTGGAATTATTAGCACGTTGACGGTTAATTCGTAAAATTCTCGCTTAACCAATTTGTTTTTATGGCGTCTGAATATCCGTTCGTGTAATGGAACGGATAGGGAAGTTAGAAAAGCAGAAAAAAGGAAACGTAGGTACGCGAGCATAAAAACGCGGCGAATACGTTTGCGAGCGTTTTTTAAAGAGCGAGTTGAAATTTAATGCGTGACTATTGCAAACTTTAGGGGGAAAGGAGGAGAGGAAAAAGTAAGAATGTTAAAAGGCAAAACGGTGTGGAAAATGGAAATATTCGGGCCAGAGTTAATCAGAATTCAACGATTATCGAGTTCATTATGAATTTTTGGAAGAGAGTGGGAGAGAGAGAGAGAGAGAGAGATACAGAGAGATACAGAGAACATTTGCATGTGTAAAGGTAAATGGTTCGGAAAATGCGTATGTGGGTCAGAGTAGAAGTCAGAGTCAGAGTTCAAAGGTTAGTGAATTCCGTTTCCACGAAAAACTATCTCTATATTAACACACTAAATAACACGCTAAATAACAGTAATTCTTATTCCACTCGAAGTTGCACACATAAAATTAAAGTCAAATTGAAATAAAAATATTCTTACGACAGTTCTTTTCAATATTTTTCACGAAGTGACGAACAAGCGTGTTAGAAGTATCGGAGATCAAGCAAGGATTCGCGAGGATTCGTCGTTTACGTAAATGTTGGGAAAATATAAGTTCATGGGCGAAATGATAAATCGTGGACTCGATGATTGCTTCGTCTCGATGATTTCTATTTTGTCCTCGGAGTTTCCTCTATTAATCAAGCGCGTTTGTACCATCGAGTTTCGTTAAATGGACAAACCGATTTGAGGGACCGTTCGTTACGAACGAAAGCAGATTTTCCACGGATCAAAAATTTGTTTGAGGAACGCACTGAAATTGTATTGTAAAGTATATATATATATATATATATATATATATATATACAAGAAAGAGAAGTACTCTCTAAGACAGCGGTTTCCAACCTTTTTGCTTTCCCCAAAAAATATTTTTTTCTTTAATTTTCTTAGGTTAGTTAAACAATCGAACGACTCAAATTGACGTAATGACATTTCAAATCAAACCTCTATTGTTTCTGTGTTTTTATTTTAATATCTTTTTTTTTTTGTGTTTTCCACCATTGCCAATATTATTTTCGTGGTTGGGAACCGCTGTTCCAAGATATTTAAACTAATACATGCCACTAGATAGGAGAAGTTTGAAGATACTTTTTTTTTCTTCTTTCTATGGTATTTCGTGTCGCATCGGCTACGAGATCATTAGCGACGACGGTGACATTTAGTAATTTTAGATGTATGAGTAGGTGTTTGTACCTTTGAGGTATTTTAATACCTTTCTGGATGTCGTCTTGCGAGGTCATCTTGATGTTTGAATTCGTTCCGTGTCTCCGTCTTTGGGCTTCTATGATACGACGCTCATGGAGAATGTGGGCGATCGTTTTTTTTTTCTTTTTTAGATGTTCCTGTATCAGCTCAGTATGCCCAATCTTTAGATGAGCGAGTGTAATTCCTTCTTCTCTGTTGCTATTGTTTGGTGTTTATTGAAGATATTTAAACAACGACAATTTGGAAATGTCCCAGTTAAGTATTAATTTTTTCGCGAAATTTCATTTGTTCTTCGCGTGAAAGACGCGAAATCGACAAAACGAGATGCAATGAGCGACGATATACGAGTTCGGGAAGTTCTCAAGTGAAATTATCACACTCGGAAGTTTAATCAGAAGAAAAACGGGCGTTATTGTCCCTTGCGAGATCGTACGCGGATATTAGTCGCGGGGTTAATTGTCCAGAGAGGATTTACGGTGTTCACGGCCTCGAAAGGCCATTGGAAGGTGACTGCAGGCGTTTGCCAGTGGCTTGAGCGTGTTACGAGCGACGACTGCACGTTAGCAGCGGGATGATCTCGCAGAAAGTGGATCCGTATCTGTGTCAGTCAGTCGTCGGAACGACGGAGGCAATCCCGGGGCGAATTAATTAAAAAAGGAACGGAGAGATCGTGCAAGTTTGTTTTAATGAATCCTCCTAAATGATAAAGATGGAATTATATGCTATCGTGATAAGCGCCATTTTCTGCAGCTCGATTCTCCGCCGTCTTTTACCTAGATTTAAGAATAAAATTGAATTTCCCTTCGGATATACCTTCTCGGCGAAGATAATTGTTTCTTTCCCCCACTTTGTCGAACGCTTCGCGAGATAATGTTAATCCTCGGACATCAGACTCTGCTGCCATACTTGAACTCTGTTGCTGACGTTTGTGCACATTCATGTTTTTACAAACTTTGTGAGACTGGGGCGCGAAATCTGGGAACTGTATCTTGATATATACGTATATAGACAAATACGTATGTATCTTGTATATATTCGTCTTCAATTTAGTCTAATTAGTCTAATTAGTCTAATTACGCATGTTCAACAGTTTGGAGTATGTTAACAGAGCAAGTGAGGTTTCAACGATTATAATATTTTATATATTTTATATATTTATATATACATATTTATGCATTTTATATATTTATATGTACATATTTATGTATTTTATATATTTATATATTTATGTATTTTATATATTTATATACATATTTATATATTTTATATATTTTTGTTTTGAAAAATGCTCGAGGTGGTTTATTTCGTTCAAAAAGAATGCTGTAAACTTTTGTTAAATATAAAGTGATTTTTGATAAGAACCAAATAAAAGAAGTAAAAAAAAATCCAAAATACATGGAACGTAAATATCTCTTATCAACGATTAAAAATATTCTTCTTATATTTTTATGTACGATAATTGACATCCACGAATAAAATTTGTATATTTCAGCTACTTGGAGCAGTGAAACTGTTACGCGAAAAGAGGGTCAGAATTTATGTATGTAGCCTAGGTCTAAGACATGGGTTCAGTGCGATGAATTCTAAACGAAATGTAGCTCGGTCCCAAGCGCCTTGTAACCTTGGACAGTTGCAAGATCTATTTGCTTTTACGGAAACTAAATTCGTTCTTACGAGAGAGCACTGTGTAAAGGAACGGGTATGGGTCTCTTATTAAACATCTCCTCTCACTCAAGAACACATAGTATTTAGTACACGTAATTAATATTAATTCTGCATATTTTAGTAAAATTTACTATCACCGACATTTTTATTTCTGATGATTATCAGAATTCGAGGAATTTGGAATAGTGAAGACACAAAACACAGAGATCAGATTTTCCGCGAAATCCTTTTTCTATGTGTATGTCAAATTTTCAAAGTGTACGATTGTTTGTTTTAATCGACACTGAAATATCGGGATATCTGTAATCGAAACACTGATAATCATAATACAGTACACTGCAAAGCAGAGATTGAAAATTGCAATGACATTGATTTTCGTTCAACAATCGCGTATATACGAAATCTTTATTATCCTAAACAATCGTTAACGGAGAATCGAATTTAGACAATGTTCTCTTTTATTTCGTAACGATTTCAAAACCATTTCGCAATAAAAATCCTACCTTTCATAAAAAATAAAAAAAAAAAAAGAGAAAAACTTTGAGTTCGAAGCTTTTATTTCCCACGGAAACTGAAGAAGAAGTTTCACAAATTCACGCGCGAAAGAATCAGATGTCGTGTCGAGTCAACGCTTTCTACTCGAGGAAGAGGAATATCCTCTGACATCGATGACTGGCCGCGTAGTGGTCTCTATCATTTCCGATCCAAACGAGTGTTCGTTGAATTGCTCGAAGTCCACGAGCGTTGCCGGAGATGAAAAAATAATAAAAAAAGGAGAGAGAGAGAGAGAGAGAAAAAAAGAAGAGACTCGACGAATCTCGATGGAGCTCGATCGTATTATCGTTGGCAATTTGCAATGCAGGACAGAGTGCATCGCGCGTTTAATGGAATCGAAGTGCAAACGGCTTTGACGTGGCGCGATCTCGAAATTGTGATCTTGAAAACTGGGTCACTTTCGCTTTGAATAGGCTTGACCGATTGCGAGGAGCCAGGGAGATCGAAGCCAGGTGTCGAGCGTCGAAATCTCGCGCGTTGAATAGCGATGTTGTAACGTTTACGGTTTAGATCGAATGGGTGTGGTAGATCGACTGGAAAGGGGAATTGTAGCTGATGTGTTCTCCGTTGACACATGATTTGTCAGTGAAACCTTGTCGAAGTATGTGGATCGATCGGCGTGTTTCCACGTTCAATAGTACGACAAGAGTTTAAGGAAATTGCGAAGCACGTATCACGCAGATAAATTGAAATTTGGCGTGATCCTTTCGTGAATCCTGATGTGGAAATGAATGAAGGATATGAAATAAAAATGTATTTATTAATAATTTCTTTGGCTAAGAATTGGCGCTTGACGAATATTCGCAGATGAGACATCAAGTTAACGGTGTATTATTAATACGGTACGTACCTGTTGACTCGAACAACTGTAATTATTCGACGTGGTTTTTCCTGGAAAAGAAACGAGAACGGCGTGTTATGGCAAGGCGATTAATGTTCCACCCTTTGGGGCAACGAATTATAAAGAATAACAGCTGGCGTAGTTCCTCCGAAAGAGAAATATTTTTTCGTGCGCGAGAGTGGACTTCAATTAAAATGGCTGACAGCAAGGCAATCTCGAAACAGCCTGTTCTGGAATTCTATCCCCTCGGAACATCGCGAAAATATCGAATCCCACAACTATGTTTGAGATTGCTCTTGTATGAAAAACCTATGCCGCGCGATCTTCAAACCGAGTATTCGTCTCGGCTCTATCTAAAAAATTTCATCAAATATCAACCCAGTGTAATGGAAGGACGAAATATCAAATCACGTCAATGAAAATAAAAAAAAAAAAAAAAAATAGAATAATTAATAGATCGACTGGATTCAGTTAATAACAATGAATTTATCTCGAATCTTATCTCGAACAACAATTCTTAACGAAACTATCTGCATCTACAAAATTACGTATTAAATTCTTAATGAAACTACCTACATCTACGAAATTACGTATCTTTCGAAAAGATACACCGTTCGCCGTTCACGTTCACGTTCACGTTCGTGTCATGAAAGAAATCTGCAATCTCTGATAAAGCGACCGTTTTGCCAACATCGTCTTTTCTCTATTTTTCTTGCATATATTAAACGACGACCCACGGCTCCGCGCGCTCAGACTATCAAAATCAAACCGGATCTATCAAACCGGAAAACACGTAGGGTCGAATTAAAATAGGCGTGATCGCGCGCCTATTTTCATACCGTGAAAATTCGCGTAACCTGTTCTGGCACGCGTGACTTAACCCTGACACACATGATACGGACAAACGACACACGTATCCCGACTGACGTGGGGGAGGTTCAGTGGGAAACATCGGCGCCGCGGGAGCCCCCGTCTCGTCGTTGCCACTTGCTTAATTGACCTCGATGCGCAATGTTCAAACAATACCTGTTACACGCTAAAACTGGAACGTTTATTTTCGCGGTCGATCCCGCCTTTGGCATCTTTCCTCGTCATTGACGTTCAACGACGATCGTTTCACGGTTTCGCTTTTCCAACGGTGCTCCCCTTTCCAACCGTTATAGGAAAGAACCACGCAGGTGGTTCTTGCTTTCTGATTATTGAAACGTCGATCACACAGCGAAGTCGAACACGGTACGCTGAATGTTTATTGACCTTTTATTGTTCGTCAGATTAAAGGAAAAAAGAAAAATGTTACTCTCAACTCGTGGATCGAAATAGTTTCGCGGGCACTCGAGCTCCCGAGAGCTTTGGTTAATCGTTCGATTTTGGTGTTATAGCTGGAATTGGCTACAACGAGTCTTTGAAAATTATTTATATAGCATCTCGAGCAATTAGGTTCGAGTATATCGCGTTCGTTTGAATGAAAATCGCTTTGACGAACTTACATGCAGATGAAGTTGATTCTTTGATTTAACTGCGATCTGAAGAACATTTATTTGAATTGTAATAATAATTAATATTATACTGTAAATGTTCTATGATACTATTAGATATTCTAGTTCGAATATTAATATTATATAATTAATATTAATATTATATTATATAATTATATATTAATATTACATAATTATATAATATTTATATAATAATATTATATTATATAATTAACATTTAACAGTGTTTAACAATATTTATATTTAATATTCAACCGATTTAAGTGGGAACGTTTCATGCAATCAATTCGCATCATAGAATTCCCAGCTACGGAAAGAAATATTCGAAATTTGTTTAACATCTATTTATTATTATTTCGTTTGCTTAGCGATAACAGGCTTGGTCTTCAGCGAAGTTATTCCATACTCAAACTTATTAAATTTAAAATTTGATGGCGGATGGATCTCCGGGGAAGTGCAAGGATAGTTATTAGATTTCCGAGACTGAGCACACGGAATTAGAATACGGTAGATTAGCCGTTCCGCGAGTTAGTGTTAATAAATCATACGAATTTATGGTTGATAATGAACGCGTAAGGCTGGAGGTTAATTCATAGTACGGTTAAACATTCTGTCAGCCTGCGTGTACTTGGAATATTCTGTTTGTTCATTCTCGTTAGAAATTCACATATTACGGTGCCAGGGGATGGTACTTGCAATTAATAGTTCTGACGGATGCGCAACCTTTGAGTCTCTTTCCATGTGAAAAGCAAAAGTCGTGTGTGATAAGGTGTACTGTAGTTACAACGTAGAAAACTTTCGTAATGGAAGCTTCGGCTAGTAGTCGGTTTTATCCAACAGATTGCTAATGGTTGTGTTATACGAACTTGACTTAATCGTTGAATCAAGAAATTTCCAGGAGAGACTGTAGATTTATTAAAATATTACTTTTAACGTATAGAAGTTGTACTGCGGTGATTGTTCATCATTTAATGATTCAAGTTTATTTTCTTGCTTCAAATGATGAATTTTTCAACGTCTTGGGACTGCCTAGTGATTTTATACGGTTGGATATATTCTTTTAAAAAACGAACTAGACGATTTGTTTTTATTTATAAAATTTCTGCAAAGACTATAGAAAATTAAAGCAAAAGCCCTGACCTATATATACCTGTGAGATCATTTTGAATGGGACACGAGAAGAGAGGACAGAGAATGAGAAGATTGAACGAGAAGGAATAACAAAATAAATAGCAGTATAGTTGTCGAGTCGCGTTCCACGACTCACTGTAGTGTCTCTCGTAACCGTAGTTTAGTTGAGAGTCAGGCTGAATCCGACGATTTTACCGAATAGTGATCTGAAGCTCTGAGTTATGAGGAACGTCCGAGAGTTTCTTGTTGAAAAATAATAATAGAATAAAAGTAATAATAATAGAATTGATCACCGAGTACCCTTTTCTTCGACTCATAGATTCAGCAAACGATTCTAAATATTTCTCGTGATCCAAGATCTAAGATCGACAGTACAAATTCACAGAGTTTGAAAGCGATCTAACAATATGAGGACTGACGTTTCGAGTTCCAGGATAAATTTTCATTCTTCGCTTCGCGCAGATCAAAGTTCCATAAATAAACCGCTTCGAATCGCGCATGGCGTTTATTTGCGAAACTTCGTTCTGAATATCGTAGCGCGTTCAATTCGTATCAATCCGAGAGGATTGATCTCGTGTACACACATACAAAGTATTCGCGGTGAAAAGTTGTCGATATTTTAAACTGTTTAAACTTCGTTCAAACAAAATCAATAGAATTCAGTTGACCTCGTTTCGAAGCGTGAAATCTCTTCTGTGTTTTTACATCACGCAGCAGGTGGAAGAGCAAAAATCCAAAGTCACAGAAAAATTTCTGTCACTAGACTAGATCTGTCCATGATCTTGAATATTAAAGTCTCCTCTTTTTGCAAAGAGGAGACTTCTTGAATACTAGAATTAAACGATAAAAATTCGAGAAATCCTGACGTTTTGCCTAACGATATTCAAAGGTTTAATAAAATCGTTTGAAGCAAATTTTAAGAGAAGATCACTTTCTTCATCTTCTCAGTCTTCAAAATCACGATGGATTTCGCTGCAAGAACAATTTTTTAACGTTCTCAGAGGCAGTTGAATTTTTACAATTACAATAAAGGCATCCTTGCTTTCTCACTTGCTGAATATAATGGAAAAACATCTTTGCGAATGATTAACGTAGAGTTCAAAGTGAAAGACTTTTTACTACGAATTAAAGCTGAAATGAAACTGAATTGTACGACTTTTTTTTTACGATGTACATCTAATCTACAATTTTTTAAATAATTAATCAATTTTAAATTTTTGCAATTTTTTTCACAATTTTACTTTTTTAAATTTGTGAAGTAAATTAAATTACAGGCAATCTTTCATCGAGTGCGCGAATACTTTTGTCTGTCTCTGTCATCCCGCGAGATATGTTCCATTGATTCTCACTTCCTGACGATGATAATGACGTCATCATGAACGATTCCCCTCGCCTAACTTCCAATTTCCACCAGGTTCAGGTTTGCAATTTAGCCAGCAATATGAGCGTAATTATTGACGATAAACACGTAGCATTCGACGCCTCGAGCTACTTTCTGACCCCGAAATGTTGGCGGAGTTTCCGCCGCTTCGCAGCACTTGCTTGGAATCCGACAAATTCGCCCTGGCAACTCCAAGAAAATATCGCTTGCGACGCTTCGAAAAGTCGCAATTTTCCACCTCGGTGAGTACAAAAACGCGACGCAAATGCTCCCACGGCGCTCCCCTCTTTTCTGCACTGTGGTTTACGGTGATTCACGAGAAGAATCAACAAATAATCGAGTCCTGAACGTTTCGACTCGTCGTCGAGTCCGTATTTATTCTTTAAAATGCCACAAGGGAAAGTTTTTGATCGTTTCTCTCTGTGAGTATAATCGAGTTTTAAACGATCTGATTTTGGAAAATTCGTCGCATTCATTCGCTACTACCGTGTCTGAAGTCACTTTGTTTCTAACTTTTAAAGCAGTCGAGTGTTCTCGGAGACAAATTTACGAGCGATTGAACTTTGAACGATCCAGCGTTACAATCCGCGGTGTTTGTCGAAGAAATTCTTTCTCGAGGAAGTTTCGGACCTTTTGTTTTCAATTTGGAAATTTTCCATCCCAGACAAAGCAAAAAAAAAAAAAAAAAAAATAAATAAATAAATAAATATCTCTGATCACTCGTTTTCAGCGTTAAAACGAAAAATCGGATTAAAACTGGATAGCAGAATTTCCGTGGCGAAAGAGAGAACGAATCTGGGAATCGGATTATGCAATATTTCTCCGTAGACGAATTCTCATTTCGATCCCGGTTTTCATTAGTTTTTCCCAGTGTTTCAGTGATGTACGAGGTTCCAAAAGTTTTTCGCGTGAAATTGAAGGAGGGAGCCGGCGAGTGCAATCGGGAAAAAAGAAATTGACCTTGCCGGAGTATTTTCGACATACTTTATGGACAAACATTTAGACAACCTCTGACGAGGTGAATTTCGCGCTTTGGATGGGGCTCGCCGTGGAAAT